AATAGAGGCTGTACAAAATTTTTTCAGTTTTAACCTGTAGCTTTACTGCACTGCAATAATTCTAGTTTAGGGGAGTTTACTGATGTTTTCTTTGTGCTTTACTCTGTGATCAATTTTTATAAAAGTTTCATATACACTGAAAAAAAAAATATATGCTCTCTTTTCAAGGTGTCAGGTCAACATAGAGACAAAAAATTTACCTTATTTTTTTGTTGTTGTTGTTTTGTTTTGGTCTATTTACCCTGCCTCATAGTGAGAGTGATGTGTTAGATTATTCACTGATTTGTGTGTTTCTCTGTGTTTCTTCTTGCAACTGTTGTAGCTTTTTTATTACACAGGTGGGAACTGTTATTTGACATTTATTCAAAAGAGGTTACACCTTTGTTGTGTGATTTCACACTATAAAGTATCATTTGTCTTGTTTCATGTGCTTTTAGTTTGAGATCTCCTTTGAAATCAGAATTGAAATTTCCACTTTCTTATTGTTACTATTGGCGAGGTAAATTTTTGGCCATTCTTTATTCTTATCCCTTGAAATCACTGCATTTTAAGCTGCATCTCTGGCATACAACATAGAGTTGAGTTTCACTTTACAAGTTAGTTTTAAATCCCTCTTTTTTTAAATGGATAAGTTAGGCCTGTTGTTTATTGTTGTTTTTTTGGGTCTCAGTTCTGTGGTATCATCTTACATTGTAATTATTTTGTATATTATATGTCAATCTGAAATAATCAAAAGGATTCAAACCTAACTTTAAAGAGTTGATTCAAGCGAAAAATTAGACGTAACCATCTGGAAAACACAGACTGGAGAAAAGGGAGTCAATACTCTGAAACTAAATGTTAATGTCTTGCTTATACCGGCAGAAAACAAATTTAGTTGTATTATAACATTTTTTGGTGCAATACTGGTTTAGAAATTCTAACGATTTAATTCCTGTTGTTTTCCTTTCAGCTTATTTTCATTTCTTTTCTAATTTAAAAGATGGTATATAACATTCCACCTTAGACAACGCGCTCGTCACGAAGTCTCGGTGTGCGAGACGGAAGAGGGAAGTTAATTTATAACAAAAATCAACAGTGAAGAGGGAAGGAAGTTTCCCCTGGTGCCCTTTAGCCTATTAGAGTATTTCACAAGACAATATATTTATAGTTATCTGTTTATAATCAGATAAATATTATAGCTGACTCAGGCCCCATATGCACGTTCCTTTAAGGGCCAAAATAATTTAAAGTTCCAACAGCTTGGACTTTGAATTACTTCACGTATATTATAGTTATTGTACGTATTTGATATGCCTTCTCTGCTTTTGAAAAGCAATTTCTTTTTGTACTTGTGAAGCATTAAATTTTATTCTAGCAGCTTTCTTTAGTATTAAAGCTTTTATAATGCCTTTATTACTCTTTTTGCACTTAGCCATTTGCTATCTGGAAAGGTTCCAGAATTTCCTGGCTTCTTCCTCTTGCCTATCATAGCAATTACTTTCCTTTCCTTTCCCCCGTTATCTCTTTTTATCCCATTCTTAAAGTTGTTTTCTTTCTACTTAGTCAGAACATATTATTTCTACATATTCATCAACCCATGATCCTCCCTTTCATCTCAGGTCTTCATGTGACTTCATAAAATGCTCACAGCCCTCTGTCCAGTGTTCCAGTCGCCTCTTCACGGGGGGAAGCTCATCCTGCTCCAGCAGATTCCTTGGGGAGGGCACAGGTCCACAGTATTCGCTGAGTTCGAGAATATCTCGTTCTGTTTTTCTGTGGCCTTGAGACATGAAGGATATAATATCCTTATATCCTATTGCTGAATATCTTATCCTTAATGAGCGAAAGCATAAAATGCTGCTTTATGTTGCCTTTCTCTGTCTGTTGCTCTTGAGAAATCCGATGCCACTAATTACCATGACCTTTACATGATTTTGTCTTTTACTTGGAGCTCTTTTTTCTTTTCTTAACCTTTGGTTAATAGTTTTGTAAAGATATAGCTAGCATTTCTTTGTCTGGGTCAATGTTTTATTTCCATGTTAGATCTGTGTTGTTTCTTTTAATTTGGGGGCTGTTTTATTGAGATGTAATTCTAAAGTGAGTACACTTTGGTTCTCCTTTTCTTCTTCAGAGACAGCAGGGGATGGTCCATCCCTTGTATCTTTCCTTCAGCCTCTTTCTCTCTCTTCTCACTTCTCTCTTTTCTGGCTTTTCCTCATTCCTTTTTATTACATTTTCCTTTGCACCTCATTTTTGGTCACTTTTTAATTTGTTCTTTATGCCTGATGTCATTGTATTATTTTTTCCCCATTTTCTTTCTTGACTTTAATAATCTTGTTTCATTTTTTTTGTCAATTTCTACTCCCAATTTCTATATTTCCAACTTTACATTTTTTCCCACGTCCACGAGTATTTGTTGGAAGATATTTACTTCCGATTGGATTGATGTTTCAGTTTTATTCTGCATCACCTTTTTTAGGGAGGAGAAATTATAGCAAAAAAAGTAACGTTTTTATCCTCAGTGCCTGATGTTCCCAGCTATTTTTAGAGACAGGGGCTCACTCTGGTTCAGGCTTATCTCGAACCTGTGAGCTCAGGTGATGCACTTGCCTCAGCCTCCCAGGTGCTGGGATTACAGACGTGAGCCACTGCTCCGGGCCCTGTGTTCTGTATTTTTGTGAGCATTGTCTCACTTGCTCTGAGGTTGGGGTCTGTGTTCCCGTGGGTCCTCTCTGTTCTTTGGCATCAAGTCTTTTTCACCTCTTCACTCTCCCTCTCTACGTCTGCAGTCTTGCAGGGCTTTGTTAGGATTCATTTGTTTATTTACCTTTCTTACTCCTTAGAGACTGTTTGGGAGTTCATGTTTTCTGATTCCCAGAGGTGCTGAAGGAATGGTCCTATATAGTTCATTTGTCCTCCTTGTTGATTTGTTTTCCCCAAGGAGTATAACAGATAGTTTCAAAATCAGCATGCCACTGTCATGCTCTAAACCCCAGAATACCACCGTTTCATAAGAGAAGAAATAAAAGCAAATACCAATTTTTACATTTATCCTTAAACTTTCGAGGAAAGATAGAGGTTTGGCAGCACCTGTAGCTCACTGGGTAGGACACTGGCCATATGCACTGAAGCTGGTGGGTTTGAACCTGGCCCTGGCCAGCAAAAGCAACAATGACAACTGCAACAAAAAAATATCATGAAATGATTGTATCCTGAAATGATTTTCTGAGACCTTTGTATTGGTTTTTAATTTCTTTTGCATCTCATTGACTTTGTTTTAAAAATCAATATTTTTGATTATTTATTTATTTTGAGACAGAGTCTCACTTTGTCACCCCTGGTAGAGTGCCATGGTGTCATAGCTCACAGCTACCTCAAACTCTTGGGCTCAGGCGATCCTCTTGCCTCTGCCTCCCAAGTAGCGGGGACTACAGGTATACATCACCATGCCTGGCTATTTTCAGAGACAGAGTCTCATTCTTGCTCAGGCTGTTCTCAAAGTCCCGAGCTCAAGCAATCCACCCACCTTGGTCTCCCAGAGTGCTAGGATTATAGGCATGAGCCACCATGCCTGGCAAAAAAATCAATACTGTTCTTTTTTTATTTTAAGGATTTCTTTTCATCAGGATCTATTGCTGGAGAATCATTGTGTTCCTTTTTGGGAGACACATTACCTAGCTTTTTCGCACTTCCTGTGTCTTTACATTGTTTTTTATTCATGCGATGTAAGGGTTGTTTCTTTTTATTTTTGAATTTATTGTCATTGGGTGGGAATTTTTTCTTAAAGGTGTGACTATGTCAGTTGGGTCCGTCCTTCCAGTTTTGCTATTGGGTTGTGCAGTAGTAACAACTCTGCATGTTTGTTGGGGTATGATAGCATTAGTGGCCTCTGTGGATCCCTCAGTGTGTTAGGATATAGCTACTGGTAGAGGCTGTGGTAAAGCTGTACTGTAGACTGGGAGGTTAGGTGGGACCCATCTTCAGGTTTCAGGGCTAGAGGTGGTGGGCTACATGTATCTATCCTTATTCCAAGCAGGCTAAACCTTGGGGCTCTCGGTGTCTTTCTTGGGTACAGGTTGTAGTACTGGTATAACCCCAGTGTGCAGACTATCAAGCTCCTGGGAAACCAGGGCGGGATGGACAATGGCAGTAGTAGTGGTGGTGAGATGGTCTTCTAGTTCCTGTGCTCTTGTGGTGGCAGTGGTTGCCACAGGTTGTGCCAGCCAGCATCCAGACCTGAAAGTGGCATTGGCAGCTGAGACTGTAGCACTAGGTTGTTTATTTCTGGAACCTCTGATCCCTGGGAGAAGCGCTCATGTCTCACCAGTGTAGATTGGCTTGTGAAATCCCCAGGACCGAGAAACAACAGCATCTCCTCCTGGTCAGGTCCAGGAGTGGGGAGAGCGCCTGGTTTCAGCACCAGGGGCTCGAGCCTACCTCCTGTTTGCCTCTCAGTTTGGTTACAGGAGTTCCCTGCTCTAGTCCTCATTTTTCAAGCTGCAGCCTCAGTCTCCCTAACACCTAAGACCGCTGGGTACAGGACCATACCGTTTGCTAACAGGTAGGATTAGCAATGTGATCTTACTGTAGCCACTTAGGTCTGTGGAAGGCTTAGGACGCTTTCTAAAGGAGCTCCTTCTAGCTGCTCTGTTAGAATAAGGGGTCGGAAGGGTCCAGGTGCTCTCTTGTGACCCGGATTATATGATTCCCCAGTGGGAAAGAGGACTGCAGAAAGATGCCACTCTGTTCCGTCCTGGGGAGTCACTCCAGTTGTCAGCCAGCTCTGAGCCACACAGGCTGCCTGCTTCCCTCCTCTCTCCCAGACTTTGGGGTTTCCTCTCACTTTCCTGTTCAACTCTCACGTCTCCTCCTGGATATTCAAACTGTGATTGTCTACACACTATTTTGGTTCTTCTAAGTAGATGAGGTATATTTGAAATGCTTCTAAGAAGCCATCTTGCAGGGAAAAAATGTTTTTTAAAAACCCAATTTTATTTTTCTTAAATGCTATTTGGTAGGCTCCGTGGTGTTGGAACAGCAGCACTTAATATGTGCCTTGTGGCAACTGGAGGAGCAGATGCATATTTTGAAATGGGAATCCACTGCTGGGATATCGCAGGCGCTTCCGTTATTGTTACTGAAGCTGGTGGAGTGCTGCTGGACGTTACAGGTACAATAACGGGACAGTGAAGCATGTTTCTCTCCACATCTGTTGGACTTTCCCTCCACATTTTGGATTTTAAAAAAATCTTTGTAATTGTTAGACCTTTGCTTCTCATGCAAAAAGAAGCTATGTAATTTTGTGCAAAATCAAAACAAACGTTAGAAGAAAGAGGTGAGAATAAGAGCTCATGATAATGTGGGACTGATGGTGATAAATGGCTCAGCCTGTTCAGATGTGAGCAGCAGGATTCCTGAGAGATGGCAGAGAACGCCTAATAGTTACTGAGTCCGAGGCTTATCCCAGAGGTTTTGAATGGTGACCATGGTGATAGTCAATGATGGACTTCTATCACCACCTTCTTTCCTGGACCTAGAGAGGTTAAATACTTACTCTGAGCTTATGGTGAAATTTTTAAAGGGAATGACGAACCTGGGTTCACAAAATTCAACAGTGATTTAGGAGAAAGGCAACAAAGTAATATGGAAAAGAGAAGGACAGTGGTAGGAAAATGCCTTGGTGTCAGATTTACTGTGCATAGATTCTCAAACAGGGTGGAGGTATTACGAAACTGATATCAAACCGGAAACTGATATTTCCTCAAAAAGGATGCTTAGAAATTCAGTGCTGTAATGACAAAGCTTAAACATTGTAGTTAAGTGACAGAGTAGATTTTTAAAAGAAAATTGGAAGTATTAAAATGTTATGATTTACCATAGTACATATTGTTAGACTAGTGTTGTACTGAATCATTTTGGTGCCGGATATAACTATCTTCCATACTTGATTTGCCCTTAGGTGGACCATTTGACTTGATGTCACGAAGAGTTGTTGCTGCAAATAATAGAACATTAGCAGAACAGATAATCAAAGAAATTGAGATAGTACCTTTTCAACGAGATGATGAAGAATGATTCCAGCAGCCTCGTATCCAGGCACAGTTGCTTTCCCCCAGATCGGCTGACTCACTGACGGATATCTGTTTCAGATACTTGGTTCAAATTGTCTTTGTTGGAACTTGGTCTATTATTTTACTAAGACTGTGCTTGCAAGAATACATAATGTTTCTTTCATTGTTTTGAAAAAGGTTGCATGTAAGAATATACTTTAGGAAAAACACACAGGAGGTATGAGATAAAGACCACATCAATGAAATAGTTAATTATTAATTTTGCATTTCCGACTATCTAAGGTCCTCTGAAATTTTTACTTGCTGCATCTAAATACATAAACACTCACTTAGAGAGTTACCTTTAAGAAAAATGTTTATGAGTTTCAAAAGTCATATTTAATTAAATTTGTAAGGATATAAAGAGTTCTTTCCTGACCAAGGTTTATTTCTTTGCAGAGAAACTTGTTTGCTTACTCATCAATGTCGGGTTAGCACTCAGTATAGTGCTTGTCAAAAGGAGGCAATCCACAAACAACCATTGTAGGAAGGAATAATTTGCAGGGAACAATTCCTCGTTATAATAGATACATAGGTAATAAGCTCACCATGCTGGGTTTTTTGCTTCAGGTGTTGAAGTAAAAATCACCTAGTTCTCCTTTTTATATTTCACATTACCATGCCGTTTCCCATTACCAGGCTGCAAGACAGCATTGCTTACTGCAGGCATTTCAGCAATGAATACATTTTCAAAAGCATTTCGTTACAGTATCTATTTGGATTTGCTTTGAAGTCCTTGTGTAAGAAGAGAGGAGAAACTGTTTCCCAAACTATACTTCTTCCATCTCTGAATTAATTAGATACAGTACTAGTAAATCCAATATTAGTATTTTAAAGATATTTACACAGAGTTGATGGTGCTGGCAAATATGCTGTGTTGTTAATATCTAATGATTTGATTTCTTCCCAAACTCCTTATTTAATTTTATTGCTGCTGCATTCTCTTCAGCCTTTAAATATTCCTTTCTAGTCTTTGGCCTATCCAACTCAAAAGAATTTTAATTCTCATAGAAATGTTTAAAAGATTAGTTTATTGTTTAGTTCATGGCACATAGACTGCCTACTAAGTGTTATGATAGGTTTCTATGAGCCTTGTGTTTGACAAAACGAAAAGTACTTCTTTAAAGTTTTCAGGGTATGGGCTTATTTTATTTTGTGTACGTGTAATTAAATATATATGCTACTAAGATTTGAGTACTATAATTACTATATTTGTACTGTAGATCACATGCACTTAAAAAATCTGATACTGTTTTATTATAAGCTGAGTATTTTGCAATTACATTTACTTTAATCAAGAAGAGTGTGATGAATAACATTTAAAATAAAAGTATAATTGATCTGATCTTTATATTATTAAAGGTTATAGTTTAAATTACTTCTAGGCGTTTTGGGTTTGATTACAAATGTTTGAAACTTGAAGTTGTAATTGGACGTAAATTTTCATCTTTTGCCTATAGCTTTTCCACGTTTTGTAAACACTTTTTTAAAAAGTGTTGTCCCATAGGAAACTTTTACATCTTTGTATTCTAAATGCAACTGAATGTTTTGTGGCTGAATTTTTTTTAGATGCTGAAAAAGGGCAATTGGTGAATTACCCAACAATATTTGAAAATCTTTCTTTAGCAGGACTTCTTAGGCTTAACATGTATATGTTGTAGGCAAAGTATATTATCTTTCTGTATGTGTATATACAGAAAATATATAATCTTTCTGTATGTTTATACACACACAGAAAATACATACACATGAATATCCTAGCTCCCCTTTATAAACAAAATTGTGCTTATTCTAAGATATACTTTTTTTGTAAAGCAATCCTTAGCTTTATTATGAATTGCTAGGTATTATTAGAAATGGTTTACAATGTCAGCCTGTGATATGTGTCATTATAACTCAGTTATCCTCAACTTCAAGATCTATTCTAGGGCCGAAGATACCAAATTTAAAGAAAGAAAGAGGGGGGGGAGGGACGGAGGGAAGGGGGGGAGGGAGGGAGGAAGGAAGGAAGGAAAGAAGGGAGGAAGAAAGGAAAGAAAAAGAAGGAAGAATTTCAAACCCTTCCCTTTTGCCTCAGGTCCCTATCTTTACCCTGCCTTATTTGGAAAAAACATGTATTTTTATTGTTATCTAATTAATACATATACATAGTTAAAAATTTCAAATAATCCTGCAGAGCTCAGAGTGAAAATAACATTTTCCTATCCCATTCTACCCACCCCGAGTCCCTCTCCCCAAGCCCTGTCAGCAGCTGTTTCTGGTATTCATCTTCATTGTTTTAAAGCAGTGTCTCCAACCTTTTTGGTACTGGGGACCAGTTTCAAGGAAGGCAATTTTTCCCTGGATTGGGGGCCAGGGAAGTGGTGGGCAGAGCTCAGTTCAGGTTGTGATGTGAGTGATGGGTGTGGCTATAAATACAGATGAAACTGCTTTCCAAATGCCAGGTTCCTAAGTCTCATGGAAGACAATTTTTCCATGAGAGTGTGGAGGTGGAGCTCTGCAGCCTGGCTAACAGGTCATGGACCAGTACTGGAGTTGGGGGCTGCAGTTATAAGGGGCAGTGATGTTCTACTACATCTTTATTTATTGTTCTTATTCATTCTCTATTAACTTGCTCTTATGGAGGAAGACCCCCATGAGTCACCCTTCTTTCCTGCCTTCCATCTTTCTACTATAGTATATATACATTTCGTTGTTAAAATAATATCCATTGTTTAACTTAAGACTTTTATTCTCTGGTGAGCTAAAAATTAGTGTATTATGATCACAGTTTCTTTCCCATGCAACATTTTGTTCTTTTCTGAAATTAACAGATGTCTCACAGGATTATATAACTTTTTTTTCCCCATTTTTTTATACTCAGATATTCTGTTCTTTTAGTGATATTTATTTTGTCTCTGGAGAAAGACCTTTTGCAGCCTGTTCCCTTTTCTTCTGGGTTAGTTTCTGGCTAGCTGTGGGGCATAGTCCTTGAAGGCTCGCCTTTGCTTCCCTTATGTCGAATCCTCTGTGTTCTGGCCTTGTTCTGGACTCATTTTGGTGAACCCATCTCCTGGGTGCTTTGTGTGAAAAGGTACCTGGGAAATAAAATTTTTTGACTTTTCCATGCCGGAAAATGTCTATTTGTTCTTACTTCATTTACAGTTCCACTACATCCAGAAAAACAGAATTTTAGGTTGAAATTCATTTTTCTTTCAGAATATTTAAAGCACTGCTTCATACTCTTTACCTTTCAGTGTTGCCAATGAAAAGGTGATTGATGGTCAATTCAGAATACTCTTTCTCTGGAAGATTTTATTTTTATTTTTGGAGGTTTCTAATTTCCCTATGATAAGCGTTGTTTTATGTCTTTTTAATTCTTTGTGTTAATTATTCCTTTTTCATTCTGGAAATTCCTCAAGTCTTTAGTGTTTCCTTTCTTTGACAATTTCCCTTCTTCCTTAATCTCTGTTCTCTCTTTCTAGAATTTCTCTTATTCAAGTGTTGAACCTATATCATCAGCCTATTTTTTTGATCTTTAACATTTTTTTGATTTAAGATATTTCCATAACTGTGTCGTCCAACCCATCTATTAACTTTTCTAAAGCATCCTGTTTTTATTTCATGTATTAAATATGCTCTCTTTCTTAGGCTATTCTTTTATATATTTTAAATATTATTCTAATCCCTGCTTCATCATTTTCAAATTCCTGAGTTTCAATTTTTGGTTTTTGCTTGTGTGTTTTGGTATAATCTTTTTTCATTTTTGAACATCCTAAACTATCTGAGCATCTTTTGATTGGAAAAATGTAACTTTTGACATCAAGGTAAAGCATTGTGTATCACAAAATATGTAGCCCTAAATTCAAAGCAAGGAAATGAAATAGGATTGATTGGCAGAAATAAAAGTAATTCATAGTCTGATTGTTCACTTAGAAAATCCAGATGAATCTAAGACAACCATTAGAATTAGTGTCTTTAGTGATTTCACTAGAGGTAAGGTCAGTGTAAAAAAATCAATTGCCTTTGTATAAGCTAGCAACACAGAAGATAGCAGTTAGCAACTATAACATTTATAGTAGGGCTTTCAAGAGCCATCAGATACCTAGAAATTATTCTAATGAAAGATACACAAGAGGACCACACAGAAAACTACAGAACATTGCTAAAAAAGTTTGCAAAGATCATAATAGAGTAATATACCACATTTATTTCTTATTTCGAATTTTAAGGGAATGCACATGTTTTTCATTACATGGATTGCTGTTGTAATGCTTGAGTCATAGCTACAGGTGTGTCCATCACCGAACTAGTGTCCATTGTAACCATTAGTTAAGTTTCTGTCCCTCCCCTCCACCTTCTCGACTTCCTCTGAGTTTTGCTTCCCTCTGTGCACATGTGTGCCCATTGATTACTTCCAATTTAATAATGAGAACATATGGTGTTTGCTTTTCCAATCTTGAGATACTTCACTTAGAAGAATTGTCTCCAGTTCCATCCAAATTGTTGCAAAAGTCATTAATTCATCCTCTTTATGGCTGAGAAGTACTCTATAGTATACATATACGTGTACCACATTTTATTCATCCACTTATGAATTTAAGAACACTCGGGATGATTGCACATCTTTGTGATTGTGAATTGTGCTGCAATAAACATTTTAGTCTAGGTGTCTTTTTGATAGAAAGATTTCTTTTCTTTTGGTAAATACCCAGCAGTGGGATTGCTGGATGGTATGGCAGGTCAACTTTTAGTTCTTTGAGGAATCTCCATACTACTTTCTATAAAAGTTGTAATATATTGTGCAGTCCCACCAATAGAGTATAAGTGTATTACACTTTGAAAATATCTATGCAAATAAACTAGAAAAAGTAGAAAAAATGGACAAATTCTGGATACAACCTCCTGAGATTCAATTAGAAAGAAATAGAATTCCTAAACAGACCAATAATGAATAACATGATCCAAGCAGTAATAAATAATCTT